TAGTTTACCCTACTCCGAGGAAGTCCGTTCTCCAATAAATGAAATGACAGCCTGGTAATAAACCCAATTTCCTTCACAGTGTCCTCTGCATTCAGCCAATAACCTCAGCAATAATTCTTGGGCACTTTCCACTCTGCTTGGGCACTTTTGGGAGCCAAAAGGAGATAACAAAGAAACTTCAAGGACATAAAAATCTACTGAATTTCACTAAGCTACTGCCCTTGTAGACACTTAACATAAACAATTAGCAAGAGAAGGGGAGCAGCTTGCCCCGTATTTGCCAGGTGGGTAGGGCCCCCATCATCTGATCCCACCGACAGCTTTCACCCGCCTAAATAATCTCAAGGCCTAGCCTTTCACATCCATATAATGGAATATTAGCCCATTATAAAATTTCAAGCTCTTGTAAGTGAACGAAAAAACCCTACTTACACACCAGTGGGAACAGTACACTGCCATTATGTGCAATACATAAATAATATACACATCTGCAAAAGCGACAGACACATGAGGCTGTCCAGGGAACTAGTGATCCTGAAATGCCAGACAGAAGGAATTTGCAGGTTGGAATTGGAAGGACAATCCCATTTCACATGATGTGTTATTTTAATAATCCCACTCTCTGGAAATATAAGATTTACCTGTTAGCAGCAAACTATTTCCAGAAGTTGGGCCCCATGTGCTGCATGAAACTTGAAGGACACACTTCAGTCTGTCTGTCTTTTCTACCTCTCCACTTTACCACCTCCCTTTCTTTTCCTCCTTCTTCCCCACCCCCCTCTATTTATGTAGTTTATTCTATTGGCCCAATCTGGAATTATTGATCTCAACTCAAAAAGCTTGGTGCAAGTCCTGGGAGTGAGACCATGTATCTGTGGCTCCTGCCCCATGGCGGTGGGCTGACAAGGGGAGAGCCCCCTGCCCGAGGCAGGCAAAGCCTCCAGAGCCCGGGAGCCCAGCACAGAGCTGGCTCCCATGTTCCCCTCCCTTTGAGTGCTGATTCAAGATTCCAAAATGACTCTACAGTCTACCAGCTCCAGAGGCAAAGAAGGGAATCTGGTCACATCCTCCTTGACCCTGAACCTTCTATCTTGTTCCCCTGCTGCTTCTTTTTGTTGCTTTCCCTGTTGCCGCTCTGAAATACTCTGCTCCGAGGCCTTTGTCAGGCTGAACTCCATCTAGCCTGAGATCCCGATCCTGCTCTAAAGCTCCTAGCTTGGGGTAGATGATCGAACTGTGGCATCCCTTCCCCTGAGGCGGAATGCAAGACAGCAGGCTAAACCAGGTTCACCCAAGAGGCCCCACACACTGCCCAGCTTGGACGTTTATCCATTACTGGTGGTTCATTCCCTGTATTCCTCCCCAAGCTCAGTGGCCGCAGCCTTCTAGGACAACAGTGAATGGGAGGGACTTTTGCCCCTAATGTTGTTCTTATTTGCCAGGTGGCCCTAAAGCTCTTCTGAGGATTAAACCACAGCCTCTGATTTTAATTGTCCATTACCTAAGGAAACAAGGCAACAGCTCCCACAGTCTCTCTCCACAGGTAGGTAAAATGGAAAATCCAGGGGCTTTGGGACCATACAGCCCTGGACTGAACCCCAGCTCAACTCAGCTTTATTCTGGGCACCTTCCTTACCACTGGTTTCCTTATCTGCAAATGGGAATAGTTCCTACCTCATTTGTAAAAATCCAGTGAGTCGCTCCCCTCTTTATTCCTTGGACACACCCCTTTCCCATTTCAGCTCTCCAGCTAAACCCACCAAACCAGCCGGGACCTGGTATTATTTGGTAATCAACCTTAAACACAGTGTATAATCTTGGAAGTATAAAGATCCTATTTCTGATAGATATACTCCACCCTTTCTATCAAAAGGGAAGTTTGGAAAGCCTTGTAAGCCTATGTTATAAGCAACGAAACAAAAAAAAAATGTGATTGGCCTTGATAACTACAGAACCTATCGCCACAGCAACACACAGAGTGACAGGTACACACACACACACACACACACACACACACACACACCTGCTGCCCAGGGACCAGGGTTCCATCCCTCACTGGCTTTCTTTGGTGCCTGCTAACCTTTACGTTCACTGTCATGGTCAAGACTCAATCTTCAAAACCCTCAAAGACCTCCTCCCTCATTTTTGGTTAAGAGAAAACAAAAGGCCCAGAGAGCTAAAGTGACTTGTTCAAAGTTGCACAGGGTGTAAGGGGCAGACAGCAGATTAACTGCTACCCAGGTGGTGGGCACAGCGAAGGGAGTAACTCATGAAAAGCTTGGTTAAGAGGAACCACACGGCGAGGCTGTATTTCATCCTCAGCAGACTCTAAAGATGTTCTGCGACTCTCTGCATGTGTTTTTAGGATGACACACAGTGGACTACTGAACAACACAGACCTGAACTGCAAGGGTCCACTCCATGCTGATTTTTTCGATAAATATGGCAGTAGTGTTAATGTATTTTTCCCCCTTATGATTTTCATAACATTTTCTTCTCTCTAGCTTACCAGGTTGCAAGAATACAGTGTATAACACATGTAACATACAGAATATCCATTAATTGACTGTTTCCTGTTATTCCTAAGGCTTCTAGTCAACAGTAGGCTATTGGCAGTTAAGTTTTGGGAAAGTCAAAAGTTAGCAGGTGCATTTCTGACTGCGCGGAGTGGGGGTGTTGTTCAAGGGTGAACAGTATGAGTATTTATTTGCCAACAGGATTTCACAGATCTTTGATGCATTTCTTAGAACTCCTGTGCTCTAAGACCAGTGCCATTAAATGGAACTCTGCGAAAAACAGAAACGCACACTTTCCAGTAATTTAAATAATTAAAACCTGAGCTAGCTCTGCCTACAGGGCTCTTGAAACGTGGCTTGTACAACTGAGGAGCTGAAGGTTTTAAATTTTTCAACATTTTTCACAGTGGCAAAATACACGACATAAAATTTACCAACTTACCCATTTTTAAACGCACCCTTCGGCGATAACGAGCACATTCACACTGTTGTGCGGCCGTCGTCACGTCATCCATCTCCACAGCTCTTTTCATCTTGTAAACTGAGACTCGATCCCCAGGAAAAGGTAACTCTCCTTTCCCTCCGCCTGCCCCCCAACCCCTGGCAACCACCATTGAACTTTCTGTCCCCATGATCTTGATGACTTTAAGTAAGTACCACTGTACAGTATCTGCCTTTCTTTTTTTTTTTTAAGGTTTTATTTATTTATTTGTCAGAGAGAAAGAAAGAGAGGGAGAGAGCACACAAGCAGGCAGAGAGGTAGGCAGAGGCGGAAAGAAAAGCAAGCTCCCCACCGAGCAAGGAGCCCGATGCAGAACTCGATCCCAGGACCCTGGGATCATGACCTGAGCCAAAGGCAGTGGCGTAACCCACGGAGCCACCCAGGCGTCTCAGTATCTGCCTTTCTGTGACCAGCTTATTTCACTCGGAAGAATACTCTCAAGGTGATCCAAGCTGCAGCATGTGGCAGGATTTCCTTCCTTTTGAAGGCTGAATAATATTCCACTTTATGTAGAGACCACATTTTGCTGATCCATTCGGAGGTCAGTGGACCCGCGGGTGGCTCCCACATTTTAGCTACTGTGAATGCTACTATTGACACGGCTGTACAAGTATCTCTATGAGACCCTGCTTTCAACTCTCTTGGGTAAACACACAGAAGTGGAATTGCTGAGTTGTCTGGTAATTCTGTATTTAGGTTTTGAGGAAGCTCCATATTGTTTCCTAAAGCAACTGTGCCATTTTATATTTCCACCAAGAATGCGCAAAGGTTCTGATTTCTCCCCATCCTTGTCAATACTATTAATTTCTGGGGTTTTGTTTGGGTTGGGTTTTTTTTTTTTTTTTTGGATAGCAGCCATCCTAGTGAGTGTGAAGTGGTATTTCACTGTAGTGCTGATCTGCATTTCTCTTGTGATCAGTAATACTAACCATATACCTTCTTTGATGTTTTCATTTCATTTCACCGTAATGAGATTAAACTCAAATGGCCATATGTGGCTAGGGGCTGCCATACTGGACAGTGCAGCTCTAGACCACACTGACTCTTAGGGTAATTTCAAGACCCAGAGCAGTAAGCACAAGATGCTCTGGATGCAAATGGACCAGTCAGATACTTTCTAGTTCTGTGGACCTAGCCAGTCACTTACACATCCCGTACCTCAGTCTTTACATGTGTAAAATGGGGGTTGTACATCCAGAATGCTCTATCTAAGAATGAAATGAAATGAATCAGCCTGCATGTAGCCCCTGGTACAGTCTAAGCACATAGGAGGGAATCGAAGCTAATGGGACATGCCTCTCATTTCCCAATTCCCACCAAAACTAGACACCTAGGAGTTGGCCTTTTCAGACACTTTCCCCAAATAGACTGCAGTCCTTTCCAGAGAAATGGACTTTCAGTTCTAAGAAACAAGGATCGTTAGCTCCCACCAAAAGAACCCCAAGATGGAGGGTGGACAGAGATGAAATCTGTATCTCAGCCCTCTGATAATCAATGAGTCTGACTCTATCCAGATTCAGACTTAGCTAATAACCAACAAGAAAGTAAAGCTACCAAACTTCCAAATCTAGAACTCCTGGCCATCTCCTTCAGGAAGCCCCCAGAAACAAACCTGCAGAGAGAGAACCCTTTAAGAAAACTCTGTAACAGGCACCTGGTTGGCTCAGCTGGTTAAGCTACTGCCTTCGGCTCAGGTCATGATCCTGGAGTCTTGGGATCGAGGCTCACATCGGGCTCCCTGCTCGGCGTGGAGTCTGCTTCTCCCACTGACCTCTCTCCTTTCATGCTTTCTCTCTCTCATTCTCTCTCTCAAATAAATAAATAAAATCTTTATTTAAAAAAAAAGAAGAAAAGACAAAGAAAACTCTCCTACGTCCTGAACGTGAGGCATGGCTCTGGACAGTCTGAGACCGTTTTTTTGTGGCCAAGGCCCTCCTTCCGTCCTGGTTGGCGACCACCTGGGTGAACCCCAGGCACCTTACCTGACGCTGCAGTGGTGGGGGTGCTGGCTGGCGCGGGCTGCGAGGGGCTGCTGCTCTCGGTCATCAGGCACGGGTTGCTGCCATTGCTCTCTCTCTTGACAAGCAGCTCAGCAGCGCTGGGCAGCGGGATGGGGTGGCTGATCCCCAGTTCTTCCTCCTGGGCCTGCTGCCTTCTCAGGGCCACCTGGAAGCACAGGGCAGCAGGTCAGCCCCCCATAACCAGAATCTCTTGCACGGCTTTGCCAAAACCCCCTGGAGTCCCAGTCACCCCAGATATCACGATCCCTGAGCTCCAGGAGTAAGGTCTAGGATTCTCTCACTCCTTTTGAATGCTACCCAAGTCACCAGGATGTGCAGCCAAAGCTGAGAAATGGCGTCAAGCCCACAGTAGGTCAAAAAATGTCCATTACACTAATGAGTATGTAGAGCAGGGAACAAGGCTGGCTGCAGAGAATCCAGAAAAGCTGTAGAGTCAGTCAAGCAGAGGAGTTCCATCTGAAGGGAAGTCAGCATTGACAGATTAGGAAAGAAGGAGAATGGGATCTCTCACTCTTTCTGGCCACACATTTGTCAAAGGCTACTGTCCTGGGGCCAGTGACCAGCAAGATACAGTAAAATTAGATTAGATCCTAAGGTAGTCACTGTTTAAAAGCAGGAAAAGGAGGCAGGCACACATGCGAAGGCAACTCAACACAAAATGCGGCAAAAAACCATAGGAGAGGGACACTGCTGTCTTACAGCAGGACTCTGGAGGCAAAAATGGTTTTAAGGGTAAGAATCAGCCAGAAGAGGTACTGGAAGAGGGCCTTGAAGAACAGATTGAGTAACAGGCACACGGCAAGAACGAAGGAACCCAATCCAGAACAAGGGAGCAGGGTGGGCAGGAAAGGCAGGGGCTGCTAAGGAAACCCCGCAGGGCCAGGCTTTCCGGAATGAGGGGAGCATGTAGAGCGGTAATGGGGGAAAGGCTGGAATAAGGTGTTGAAGTCCCTGGAGAAGGAAGAGGCTGCAGGTAGAAAGAAAGTCAGAGAACAGGTCCTTCCTCTATGCCAGTAGGACGGAAGGAGCCGGAAGTGAGGGTATAAGGGACTTAAACTACCTAAAAGACTCCTCATGGTCCCTCTTCAACTTATCTGCTTTTAAATAACATTGTTAAAGGTTGCAAAGGAAAAAGTAAAAAAAAAAAGAAATTGTACTTTTGTCTACTACATGTAACAAAAAAGGAGACTTTCTATTGAAACTTGACTATTAGTGATAGTGAAATGAGAAAGTAAAACATCTGTACCTCAGAGGCCAAAACAGAAGCCAAAAGTTGAAATCAAAATGGTAAACAAGAAACACAATGACTATTTACTGTTTTAGGAAAATTGTAGTCCAAACTTAGCAAGCTGATTAACTTACAAGTGGATTTTCTCATAACAAGAGTTTTCAACTTAAAAAACCATCCTTAAATAATCAATTAACATTAAACGATTAAGCACCGCTCTTGGATTTTTTTTTATTATTAACCAAGTTTAGAAACAGAATATTAAGGATTTGATCAAAAAATACCAACAAAAAAAAAATCCACAAATCTCTGAAGTATATCAATGCATGCTTATGTCCTGATCCACACAAATTCCATGCACACACAAAATGCACAGGGTTATTTATTATATGAGCCATAAACTAAGGACACTTTTATAAAGGCCTCTCAAGGATTTTAAAGGTAAGCTATTCAGTAAGGGAAGGTGGGGGCAACTGATTAAAATGCGATTATTTTAGGGTCATATCAAAGATCAATTTCACACTATTTCAGAAAGAAAAAAATAGCCGGTACACAAAATTTTACAGGATTTCATCTAGCACTACACAAGATTTCCAGCGTGGAAAACGTTGACTTTTCCTATTATTGAAGTAATCCTGAGTCGTTTTTGTTTTTAACATAGCAAACGGGCTTTTTGGAAATTGGTGCCCCAATTAATGAAGCTTATACAAAATGAATGGCCCTACTTCAATACATGTTTTTATTACATTTTGAGAAAAGTCCCCTCCCAAGCATACATATTCTGCACTCAATATTTAAAACAACTCTATGTTCAGAAGATTTTTCTAGCTACAAATAGAACTTCGGGGTCCCTAAGGCTTTTTCAATAAAGTCACTGTAATGCATTTTAACGCTACATCGGGGAAATCTTTTCACCCACTACAGATGACGCCGCAAACCCAAGAAATCTGCGAAGCCAACATATATCCAATTTAAGACACATTTGTAAAAAATGAGACGCATATAAAAAGCATAATCTTCAAGCATTTACTCAGTCTTTGTTAAAACACTCTCATATGAATTATTTTCCACGGAGAATATTTACATGTTCCCAGTCCAAAGCAGCGCATCCGTAGTAAACACCTCTTTGGTATATTTTCATCTTAAATAAACTGCCTGAAAAGGATGAAACAAATTTTAGCTGGAAAGAATGTGTATTATTCTCTCCTAAAAAATCCTTTCAGTTAAAAAAGAAAAAACAAAACTTAAAAAAAAATCCTTTCAGGACGCCAGAGGACTTGGGAGAATTTCAGCTTAAGACGCTACGTGCCTGTCTTCCTCAGGACGTTTCTTTCCTTTCTTTCTTTCTTTCTTTTTTTTTTTTTTTTTAACACGACAGACATGCCCTCAAAGCCGTGCCATTTCCCCCTCGCGCTTCCTTTTAAAAACTCGTTAAGCGTGCTTGAACACACGCCGAGTAGCCGGTACCTGAGGGAGTCGGGACGAGGGAACGGGAGCCGCAGAGCGAACGCTGTTCCCGTCGCGCTCAAAATGGCTGCAGCGCGCGGCGTGGGCGCGCGGGCGGCGAGCTCGGAGCCGGCGCCGGGAGCTCCTCGAGGACCGCGCGGCCTCCGCGCGCGCTGCCGCGACTTTTCCAGAAGCACCACGCGCCCCGCGCGGTACCCGGAAGAGCGGCGGCCGCCGTTCCCGCCAGTCGCTCGAGCGGGCGCCCTCCCGCACCCTCTGCAGTGTGAGCGCCAGTCTATGCTCGGGGGCCGGGGTCCCAGAGCCTTCCGAGGCGGCGGCGGGGGGGGGGGTTCCCCAACTCTCCGCTCGGTGAGTGAGGTCCGGGGTCCACGAGATGCCCTCCCTCCCCACCCCCCCGCGCGCGCAGCAGGACGAACCCGGCAACTCTCCGCTCTGAAAGCGGGAGCTGAGATCCTGGGGCCCTCGGAAGGCGCGAACCCCGCAACTCTGTGCTCTGAGAAAGCGACTGGAGAGCCTAGCAATGGTGGGGACCTCCGAGGGTGCGAACCCCGCGATTCTGCTGGAGGGCGGGACCAGGGATTCGCGAACAGAGCGAACCCCGCAACTTACTGCTCCGGAAGCTGGAGCGGAGATTCTGGGGATGGATTCTCGGGATCTCCGACGGGGTGAACTCCCCTCTCTGCTGGAGGGCGGGGTCAGGGATCCCGGGACTCCCAACGGAGCGAACCCCGCAACTCTCTGCTCTGAGAGAGGGATCAGAGGTCCTGGGGAAACTCAATGGGGCGGCCCCGCCACTCTGCCGAAGGTCGGGATCAGGGATCCCTCGGAGGCCGAGCAAACCCCGCAACCTCCCTGCTCCGCGGGCCGGATCCCAGAGGACTCCCGGCCCTGCGAGCCCGGCGTGGCGCGAAGCTGGCAGCCGCGGCGTCGGCGAGCTCCCCCGCCGGTCTCCGGAACCCGGCACCGCGTGGCGCCCGCCCGGCCCGAGGGACTTTAAGCTGGGGGCGGACGCTCGGTTCCCGGACGCCCGCACTCACCTGCGCGGCCATCACGCGCTGTCTCTCGGCGATCAGGTTGCACTTCTTGCACTGGCAGTCCCGCCACATGCAGAAGCGCTTGTGGCCCTTGAGCGGCGACGCGTAGCCGTGGTTCCTGCATCGCGCGCACTTGGGCAGCCGCGGGGACTTCTTGCTCCCGGAGCCCATGCCCGACGCCCCGGAGCCCGAGGAGCCGCCGCCTCCGCCGCTGCCTCCGGCGCTCGCGCCACCACTGCTCCCGAGCAGCGCCCCAGCCGCTTTGCCAAAGCCCCCGGCCTTGCCTTGCGGGGGTGCCCCGGCGGCGTGCGGGGCCTCCGAAGAGGCAGAGGGCTTGCTGAACGCGTCGTCGTTGGGCATGGTGCCCTAGCGAGAAGTGCGAGGACCCGCCGGGCCCCTCTCGGGTCTGGAGACGGCTGCAAGCGAAGAACACAGGCGACGGCGAGGCTCCCACGGGGAAGGCCCAGAAGACGTGTGCGCTGCAGCCGGAGGAGCAGCCGGAGTGGCGCGGTCTGGACACGCAACGCCTAGACTGGTGGGGGGTTGTTCCCTTTCTTTTGGCGCGCGCGCCGCGCAGAACTTTTAGATACTTTTCAGAACGTTCCCGGGACTGCCTGGGCGGGAGAGGGCGCGAGGGAATGCGGCCACGCCCACCGCCCCCCAACTCCAGCCACTGCGTTCCCGCCGGGAGCCAGCTCGCACTGGCTGCAAACACCGAGGGCGTGGCTGCAGGTGGCTGCAACGCACCTCGAGGTGCAGAGCCACCGGGGACAGCGTGAGCTCTGCGCTCCCCCGGGCACCGAGGCCCGGCTGCCGGGAGCACGCTGCACAGGGAGGGAGCTGAGCTCCTGGATCAGAAACGTAGCTGTGCACCTTCGTCGTGCACGCCGCTTGGAGGAGGAGCAGACCACCCTGTGGGGTCCTTTAGCTCCCTTCCCCCATTCTCCACGTTAGCTCGGTAGGACACAGGTTGGCAGAAGCCAATTCGAAAAGCGGTTTCTTACTTAAAAGAAGGATGAGATTGGAGCCCTGAGAGAAGAAAAGTCACTGCCCTTAATCAGCAAATAAGACCCTCACTGTGGGGCTGAAGCGCACCCAAAAGTGGGTCTTTCTGTGCACTCAGCCTTTAAAAAACCTCACTGGGGTGGGAGAGGGGTCATACTTAACAGATGTAGACATTTATCCAAAATTCATCCCGCATTTAAGATCTGTGCATTCGCTGTGTGTAATTACACCTCTAAACACCGTCGGTGGTCTTACAGCCTTCCACCCACACCCCAACAACACTCCTCTGAGCTTCTGTTCACTTACAGGGCAAATCCGAACCTAAGGCCTGCTGATCAGATCATTTTTCCTACACACCCACAATGTCCCTACAACACCAGCCCTTCCCATGTCCGGATCCGCAGTAGCTTCCAAAGGGGATCCCTGTTTCTTAATCTTCAGTATATTTCACATAAAACAGCAGCTGGCCCCTGCAATGGCCTGGTGTTGTTCGCCTGTGAAAAGCAAAAGTGAAAGACCCAAGGCTGTGTTTTAAAGGACTTCAGTGATTCCGCCCCCC